TTCATTTAACTCTTATAGAGTTAAAATCAACACTTACTTGGTGTTTATATAATCCTCACCAATTGGGAGTTAAAGTTACACTTTGGAAAGTGTTAATATTTTAACTCTTTAATAGTGTTAATTATCTAACACTGACAGTGTTGTTTTATAACCATTTTTAACACTAAATTGTGTTATTGCTTTACACTGGGAGTGTTGATTTATACAATTTAGAAAGTTGTTCAATTACACAGGAAAGTGTATTTTTAACACTAAATGGTGTTATTCCCCTGCACTGTGAGTGTTAATTTTGAACCTTCAGTGTTTTATATCTGAAATGGTATTATTTTACAATATTAATCTATGCACTGTACACACAAATAATTGTTACTATAAGAAAAACACAATCTCTATAGGTTAAATCTATTAGCTCTATTTACATTTAGATACATTTGTTGACTTCCACAAGACTTAAGAATATTTAATAAATCATTACAAACTCTCAATGTTGTCCTTTTTTATTGCAAAAATTACAGTATCTGCACTTAACAGGCGTTGTAAACATGTTACAGATAATGTATCTCTCCGCTCTATCCAGCACAGCATAATGCACACAAGAAACAACTGACAACTGGTCAGGACATGTGACAAACAGAGAGGACTAGTTTATGTACACAACTATACAGTATATGCACATTTAAAAATAAAACAAAGGCACGACATATTCGCTCTCATCTCCAACATGAGCATATGTAAGTCAAAGGGCTTATATATTACAAGGCTTTCTGCTTTGATTACATCTTTTTCATCACTTTCAAATACTTTTGAAAATGTTCACTAAAATTGTCAACCACAAGCTTTTTCACAAGGAAGTAGATAGCACTATCAACTAAAAGGACCTTGTTTATTTTGCAAAAAACAGGCATTCCATCCTCAACCTCAATGCAAATGACTAGTCCTGTCCTGTACTCTGTCCCACTGATTGTAACCCAATTAGTAGAGAAGATGTCTTTTGGGACAGCAGCATGCAGAGCTTGAGAAAACCTCTCACTTTCCTCATCCAAATGAAATGGTTTCAGTGGTCCATATGCAAAATGGTTTAAAGGTGAGGTATCCCAATGATATCCTATGGACATTTGATGTTTTTTGGCAAGTGATTTGGTGATGTTTTTGAAGTTTTTGTGTTTTGCTTCAAATCTCATGCTCCACATATTTATCAGGGGTCCTATTTTGCTAATACAAGCTGGATAGTGATGTTTGGAATTAGGTTTCTATGTGGATACAGCTGTTTGAACAAGTCATGATGTTCCATTATCAGATGTTTCTGAATGGAATTGAGGATAGTCAAAAGCATAAATTCTAGAGAGCAGATCAGATTTTGACAAAAGATTTTCTGACAGAAACTTGAAAAGTAACTTCATCTCGAACTGAGCAACCTCTTCGAGAATGTCATGCATTATGTCCAAAGAATAATTGTGACTAACATGAAAGAACTGTAGGTTGTTGAAAGTTACATACATATACAGTACTCGTTAATTTAATATCGTGCCCTGTAGGTCATCAGATGCAAGGCAGCAGTGTCCTGGGAGTCCAACAAGCCTTTGGTGATAGAGGATATAGAGGTCGCCCCACCCCAGGACAACGAGGTCCGCATCAAGGTGAGAAGCGTCCACTATCAGAAAAAACACATGAACTCATGGTGTGTAATTACTTCTCTTCTCTGCAGCAGCCTCACTTTATCTAGTACTACGAAGAAGAAGCGTGTTTTTAACATAGACTTTAAAAAGTAGTGGCCATAATGTCACCCACTGGTTTTGGACTACTGTTTGAAGCCTTGAGTTTTCTGTGAGCATAAGTGGGGAAGGACACGTATTATAAGCAAAACCAACACTAAATTACCAGCTAAAGTGAGCTATTTAGCTAAGTTAATAAGGTGCATCCGTGATTAAAGTCATTGAAATTGTGATGGTAATTGGACCAGCCAAAAACATGCCTAAAAACTACATGTAGTAACTAGCAGAAATTCACAGCAGTGTCTTTATGGTTCTTTACTACACCAATGCTGTGGTAGGGCTTGTTCAACACAATAATGCCATACCCCTAAGCATAGCCTGCTTTTATAACCCCAACCATAACCCTGAATGGATCCACAGTTTGCAAAATGTTGTTTTGAAAAGACTTGAAACTAATATTTGAGACGAAAAACTAATTTGGCATATTTCTTCAGATTGTGGCCACTGCAGTGTGCCATTCGGACCTTTACCAACTTTTTGAGAATAAGCATAAGGACGGCTTCCCAACAGTCCTCGGGCACGAGGCAGCTGGCATCGTAGAGAGTGTTGGGCCTGGAGTCACTGAATATCGACCAGGTCAGTTTCTGAATAGTGCTTTATTTGCAAGGTGAGGTTAAAGGGTTGATTTATCTAATGTTTAATGTTTGTGTGTAAATCAGCTTGCCTGGCACAAAGTTCAGAAACACTGTGAATAATTTGTCTGTGACTTTTTGTAAAAGTGAAAGCCTTCCTAGTGACCAAACCCTCTAAAGCTAATGATTAACATTTTATGTCTCTGCTTTTTATTTAATCAGTAGGCTACATTAACAGAACATCTAAACCAGGGGTCGACAACCTTTTTGATATGAAGTGCCATTTAAAAAGAAAAATGTTATCAGCGTGCCAACGATCGAGAATTATCAACGGGGGGGGGGTGTTGAGGAGCTTGACGCTCGGGGAAGCAGTGTGTGGACCTGTCAGCGCAACTTACATGATGCCGAATTTAACAAACACATTTAAATAATTGGTTTAAACGGCATAATAATAAGGACGATCGTCCGTTCTGTGATTCTCCAGAGCACACATGTTATGATATTAGGGTCATGCAGAGTTAGATGAGATCGCTGTCCCTTTAAGAGAGAGAAAGAGAGGGGTGTGGCTTGTGCATGTGTGTTTGTGGATGGTAGAGTGACATTGAGAGAACGTGTGTATGTTTCTGGAAGTGAAGCGAGGAAGCAGAAAAACAGAGGTCTGTGATGTATTTTGTGAAACAGAAGAACAGCTAAATAAATGCAACGGCCTCCCAAGAAGAGCTCGCCTCTCTCCAGTCATTTAAGCTAAAGTGGGTTATTGAACCTGAAGCTTGTTGCTTCTGCCCTCCTCGACTACGGTCTGGGAGCCAACAGGAAAGTTCAACACACAGATGGCCAGTCCGCCCCTTTGTAGCATATTATTTCGATGAGAGATGAGCAGATCGCCACTGGGCTTTCAACTAAATACACAGCCACGCAAAAACTGCGGCATTTGTACAGCTCCTTATGGGTACTGCAATTAGTGAAGTGCATTCCTGCGTGGTGAAACGGTCAGCACTGCACCACGGAGGAAAGCGGCAGAAAGTCACCTGGAGTCAAGGAGAGCGGGGCTGCGTTGCGTGCATGGCTTCCTTCTGCAGGTAACGGGGAGACGCGCTCTGGCGGCGGTCTCGTTCAGGATCCGAAAATACAATTTAAATATTTTTGCACACTTATTCCACT